AAGAAAACAACTACTTCGTAACTAATGACTCACCATAAGTATGAGAAATACAACTTTTAAAAGCGAAAATCCGCTCTCCGGGTCTAACCGTGACGTATACATTGTGCTTGCATAGGATCGAACTCCCATGCAGTGTCTCGGTATAGATTATTATCACTGCACGGGAGTTCGGCATAGGATGGCGCTATTGACATATTCACGAAATACTCCCTCCATGACTCCAACCAGATAATCCAGTGAAAAAATCACTGAAAAACTACAAAGACCCGAAGTTAGGTAAAAGGGGCGGAAAAGATCATGGAGTGATAGTGAAATGTTGCTTTTAGTGGAATCTATTAAGTAAATGGTTATATTGTCACAGAAGTATGTAGCGCCACTTATACTATTAGGCTACTGGTATACTGTTCTGGATGGGGTAGGGTGACTTACAAGTAAGGAACTCTATTGTTATTTTTGTAAATGACTTTTTTTACCAAGAACAATATAGATAGCGCTTCGTGCTCTTTTACGTTATGTTACATTTTGCAAGGAGTTTTAAATCAGATTTTCAAACTGTGAACACAATTTCTATATCTGTTTTTTTTTGTGTTTTGATGCAGTATTGCATTTACCAAGAAAAAGTTTAAATATACGAATAAACTCTAACAAACTTCATTATGTCACCATCTCTACACGGTGACATAAAACAATCATGTAACTTAAGCACATATTTCAGTATATTGTGGCGTCTTATAGCCCAAAAATATACAACAAATCTCAAAAAGTCCAATTAAATCCCTAGTGAATGACATCTGAACCCTGATTGAAACTCATTGGATCTTGTCGTGACATCATTTGGACGCTGTGGAAAGTTCTAATGTACATCATCCTTCTTGACCTTTGTTATTATTACCGTGCCCTGGAAATATGAGATAAAAGCATATCTTATATGTGTGGCCTTAGTCAATACATTTCCTGCCTGTCATTGTACAACATTTATACCTTTGAACATGTTGAATGAAGATATTTCATGTATTCATACAGCTGTACAGTTCATACTAATAGTTTTTTCGAAACACTCTTATTACTTTGTCATAAATAGAAAATAAAACAGAGACCACTAGCAAAAAGAAATAAACCCGTTTTAAGTTTAAGACCTACAAATTACGTTTACTCCATTTTTAAAGTAGCACGTTCACAGAACGAAAACGGTAATGTATAGATTTACGTTTGTGGTTCATGTAATAAAAATGGTATTGCTTTACCTCTCTATTGTTACAAAATATACATTAGCTTTTAGTCTTTTGATCTCTTGATTTGATACATACCTTGACACCTTAGCATGTACACTTCTACAGTAAACTTTTTTATTGTCTACTGAGCCCAAGTTTTGCCGATTTCACACCTGATTTGTAATATATGTCTTTGTTGACATAACCTTTATAATTGTTTGCGTTATATTTTGTTGCACTTGTTGTTGGTGTGCGTGGTCGTATGCATAGGATCTTGTTGTTGTTGGCGTTCTTGTTCTGAAAAAGAAATGAATTGGGGCAGTCTATATATTCATTTGAGTTCCGACCTTGACCTTCCAGTTTAAAAAACTATCGTTCACTTCTTATATAGATGGTAACTTAATAGCCAGTCTCGTGACATAAGTCTGGCGGGAGGCATCTAAGGTTCAATGTCGACGGATAAGCCTATAAAACTAAATAAATCTAGAAGGGGGGGGGGGGGGGTCAAAGCCATTTCAGTTTGCTATCAGACAAATTTTAACATTTCAATTTTTGTGCAATTTTGACTCGGATCAGAATTCCTTTGAATGGTTTTAAATAAAGAGTTTACTTGATGTTTTCTGCAAATGCTGTTTACTGTTGTTGTCACATGTTTTAAGAATTCGTTATTGTAGCCTACATACTGTACATGTACGTTATGGAAATATCCCAATGAAAATCCAAAATCCAAAATCCACTAAAGTCCACACGCGAAAAGTCCGCGATCACGTTTTTTGGGGGAGTGGGTCAAACTCAAAACTAGATTAATTTAGCTTCCTATCAGACATTGAACTTTTGATACCTCTCCTTGCGACCAGCATAGCATCATACTAACCATTTACAGAACATTAAATATATCAGTGTTGACTATTTGAACCATCTGAAAAACTCGTTGAACCATGCACCATGAGGCCTAGGCTAGGCCCTAGATCTAACTAAATTTCTTCAAGTTCATAAATTGATTTTGCGCCACTTCTCATGTTCTGGCTCGAATAATGATTCAGTAAAATAAGAAGTTACAATTCTATTCATTTCTACAATCAAGTTGAAGTGAAATTCGATTATAAATACTGAAAACCAGGCTTTAAATGACAGAAATGTTAAAATACGCTTACCCGTTCAGACAAAATTTAGAGCAATGGCGGACAATGCGTTCTACGTCACATGACGACATAACTTGGAAACACAATCGATCCGTAATCGCGTCATATGACGACTTAGTAGTTCCCTTGACAATTTGCCATATAAGGTAATAAAGGCGGTCTTTAGGTCACGTGACCGATCCACTGGTTTATGTCCGGAATAAGGTACAAAGAACCGCACTTCGTGGGGGGTCTTTGTAAAAAATAAAAACACGTTTGAAAGAAAAGAAAACATTAATTGAAAAACGAAAAGTATTTGAAGCTTGTATCTATAATTTAAGTATTTTCATAAGAGTGTCTCCAAACGTTTGTTTTTAGTTAAATTTGCCAAATAATTCCGTGATATCAATAAATCCGTCATTTGTAAAATAAACATGAAATTCAAAATAAAAGTTGTGGCTACTTGTTGCATCGCATGAAGACTTGGTAAGTATTAGCATGTGCTTTCTAATTGAAAGCCCATGGTATTAGTTAATACATCAGCAAGTTGTTCTTTCTCGTTTATATTCTATGTTTGTTCACATACTTTAGATCTACGCGTGCAGGCCTGTCATGAATGACTTACAAATGTTGGACACCTTCCCTCAATGTGGGCAGTAGGTACAAAATAATACATATTACATATACGGAATTCGCGTGATAAAGCAAATTTTTAAAGCCAGGGTGCATGTTCGGAATTCTTCTGCAATTGAGTCACATGTTATTTTTCAAACAGGAATCACTCCTTCGCCATTTTATCATACACGCAAAATTGATATATGATTTTATTTTTTACCAGCAAATGCGTGACAATCATGCCTAATACGTGAGGGTTGACATGGCAGGGCTTTCAACAGAGCACTTTTCAAGTGATTTTTGTTGGCAAAAGCTGGCTACAGGCCTGATCATTGACCAGTCTTGAAACATGTTTCTTATGAGCAACGTGACATGGACGTCACTGTTTGCTGGATGATTATTTTAAAAAGTGCTCTGTATCGTACAGGGTAGTGGTGTCAATTAACCGCTTGAGCATTAACCGGTTAACCGGGGGTTTTTACCGGTTAAAGTCGGTTAACCGGCGGGAAATTTGAACTGATAATTTCAAATGAAATCTTCATCTTCGATTTTGAAAGTTGAAAAAACTGGAAAAATGATATATCGGCGTTTATTTTTTACTTTCGTCAAGCTTTACTCTATTCTAAGTAAGCGCGGGAAAGCAATGTGGCAGGGATTAAAGTTGCTGATTGGATGTTTGTAAGGAGTTATCGGACTTAATTATGACATGTATGAGTAGCTTATACGTGAAACTGACACCATAAAACCAAACGGATTAGCATGCAAAATAAGCGCGGGAAATAACAGAATTATAAACGGTCAACTAACCGCCAATAAAAACACAGACCGGTCAAGGCATTATCGGCGGTTAACCGGTTAATACTTGACACCTCTAGTACAGGGTAAAAATATCAAACAGCAGTGCACTCGGTAGGCTAAGTCTGTCAAGTCAATTCGCTACTATATATCGGGGGAAATGTAGAACTTTGAAAGTTGGTAACCCTGCTAGGAACATTAGGTACCCGGTCACCCGGTTTTTTACACAAACCCTTAATTTTCTTTCAATATTGAAAATTTCCATATACAATTCCTCCCAGTCTTATTAAAGGGAGTACATTTCCTGAAATATTGGAATAGCAATTACAAAATCCACTTTTTGGATGATTTGTCCCAAACCTCGCCAATTGATTTTACTGATTTATTACTATTTTTTGTAGAAAAACTGATTTTTGACTTAAAAAAGCCTCTCTCTTTAACAAATTTTCCATGTTTTTCCTCTCAGATTGGCCAGATTCCATGGTTTATGCCCTGAGCCAAAAATGTCCATGCTGCACATACCTACCCAAATTATTTAGAGTGACCCCCCCAGGTTGACATACCATACCATTAGACATACCATACTTATGGCCATTTGCAAAGAGAGCTGAATGAAAATCAGACCCACAAATAGCACACTATACAGCCCTTGAATCTCTCATAATGCCACAGACATTTAGATTTCTATGAAAAGTGGCATTGATGTCTTATGTTATCATTTTTAATTAGCAAAAATGAATGCAAATGTCTGGATATTTTTGTTCACTTCTTGAATAATTTCCCGAAAGAAAAGATCATTAGATAACCAGAATGTGAACTATTTGAAAAAAAATAATTCAAACATCTAGATCTCATTTGAACCATATTAAACTTAAGTCTTTAGTATGTTGTTTTGTGTGTGTAATATGTTTGCTTCGAATAAAGTACATTATTTTGTTATAGTAACATTATACAGCTTAGGTATCATTAAAACAGCTTTAAGTGCTGCAATCAAGTGATAGGATAGTGGTAACTAGAATCAGCTTAAAATAAACAAATGGCAATGTCACATTATGTGTTATTGAAGTCAATCTATGATCAATGACTTAACAGATTCAAACAAAAACATTTCAGGATCATTTAAGTTCATATGTTAAGGTGAAAATCAACATGGCTGGCCTTCATCTATGTTTCAATTTATCTTTTTGTTTGTGATATATTGTATTTCCATTTGTATTGAATTATTTTGATATTCGATATGTAACTTATTATTTCACATTTTTTTGTATCATTTAATAGGAAACAGATTATGAGCAACAGTCCATATCTAAGTCACAAATGCTAGTACAGGGTGTCCAAAAACAAGACCATTATAAGTTGTTTGATTCAATGATTTGATTTGAAAACTATGTTTATTCTGACTTTTCTTTTCTGACTGGATAAAAAGTGGAATTATATATGTAAAAGACTTAATAATGCACAACTGCCTGCTTGATATCAATTTAATGTATGAGAAGCTTGTCAACAAACAAAATTGGATTTCCTGGTGACATATTAAAATAAACAAGTTTATTTATTTATTTCTGAGTTTTACCAAGTACAAACTGCAATTAAATCAATAAAAACATAATTGACATACAAACTTCAAAATTTACAAATATCCCAAAAATATTTAAATTCAAATTTGACAATAAAATGATAGATTTCATCAGAAATCTAATTTTTTCTATGAAATTTTAAGAGTTAAAAAGGCAGAAAAATGGTGTATGTAAATGGAGAGTATACTTTTCAAATCAACTGGGATAACTTTTTTGAAACAAAGATAAAATGTAAAGAAACAAAAATTGCCAATTTTATCTACAAATTAATTAATAGAATTTTGGGTCTATATGGAATCTCCCTGACCTAGAAGTCACATTTTCAAAGAAGAATAAATTTTCAAAGTTGAAATGTTCAATGACGTAAATCAAGATTATTTCTTCTCGGACATAGTATATATTGAGCAGTTAAGTTCAAAATTAAATTATTCTGAAATTTTAAGGCAGAAATTGCAAGAGTTAAGCATCTTTTCTTTAGTCGTTTTTAGGACACTCTGTTTATCTACATGTAGATACAAATATAATTTCTGGATATTTGTAAATACTGAAACATTATCTGAAATCGGATAATATTATTATCCCCCTAGGCCTAAGCTATAGAAACCACAATGAATTAATTGTGTAATGTTTAAACAGATGCTCTCCTTGACTCAAATAATAATTTTGTATTATTGCCAATATTTTCTCTGGCTCTTGAATTTCCATTTATTAAGTGATTATTTGTTTTCTGTGGCCGAGTGAAGTAATTCAAAAACCATTCAAAGGTGAACACTTTTAGGAATGAGAAAAAATGTTCAAGTTTGGGGTGTTCATTTTAGACGATGTACATGTAATGAAATACATTTTTGTAAAAATCTACAGTAAAGTAAACATTGGAATTATGACAAAAGGTTTCATTTCACTTTAAAGTATAACGGTAACTACATGTATGTCATTCGGCCTGTTTTTGGGACTTCTGTTAGGTATTTCAGAACCAGATGAGTCCAATAGCAGCTCATTACTCAGTAGTTGTCACATTTCATGAGGTCATCCGAAATCCTATGAAATTAAGAGTTTATGAAGTCCTGTCCTGTTGGGCTTTTAGTTCTTTGCAAAACTTTACAATTACATTTGCATATTAATTCTTTGTAAAGCATTAGCGACAAAAACAATTGTTTAATATTGACTTAAGTTAATACACACTTAGAAAAACAAAAAATGGTAAGATGTCAATTCAAAAAGCAAAACAAACAATTGATTAAACTCCAGGCTACTGTTTATGATAAAAGGTCAATACTGTAAAATGTGATATTTGCTTACATGATAAATAAAGCTAGAATGTACAGATGCTCTGAATTCTGAAATTCACTTGTCGTTATTCTCATTTTCAATTTATCAATGACACCTAAAGACAAATTCCAAAGTAACCAATTCGTCATAGAGCATCTTAAGAAATTCAAAATCCTTCAAAATTACTATAAATGCATGAATTTTTACAGTATGTTATTTTGCTCAATATGTGCATGAACCAAGTGTTTAAATTATAGTATTAATAAGTTACAACTCATTCTGTTCAGATCCCTTAAAGGTGGATTGGTTCTTATTGTATTTAAATATATTCTTATATCAGTTGGAGTTTCATTGCAATCAGTTCAGCGTCTTTAATATCTTAAATAGATGTCAAATAGGGACTAACGGCATAAGTATTTTTGGATATGTAATGACGTCAGAGTTGATCACTACTTGGGTAGGACATACTGAAAGCCTTCTAAATTTGTGTTTGTAGAATTTTATTATGGTCGGAGCAGGAGTCATACTACCTTATAAGGAAGACTGAGTAAAGTCATGTTGAAAGTAAGTCATATTACTTATGTTATGATATGTCACATTTGAAGTGGGTCAGATTACTTAAATCCTGTGATCTTGTTAATGTTAAGATAGGAAGTCAAACTACTTTTCTTGCCATCTTGCCATTTCACAGTCTTGCCGTGTTACCAGATTTACTGAATTTGAAATTATTTGTCTCCCAATCATGTAAGATTTACAAAAAGTCAAACTGTTTAAATCATGTCATTTACTGAAAGTCAAATTACTTATTTTGTGATATTGTCAGATATTTTTACAGTAAGGCAAATTGTTTATATCTTGATATTGTCCCTCTTGAGGCAGTGACATTATGTAAATGATGGAGTTTTCATTTGAGAGAGATACTTCAAGCAAAAGGTAATAACATTAAATCATCAATCATTTATTTTGCAACATAACAGGTTTTGTCTGGCTTGGTAGGTTGGTTTGTATTAATGGAAATTAATTTTATTGATTTTAAAATATCGTCGGTTAGTTTGCATTTGTAGACATTGCAAATATTTAAGCATACTTGAGGCTGTGTATATATATGTAAATGAAAACCTCTGTCTTAAGGAACTCCCACTCGTGAACACCACATGTGAACACATATCCCTCATACTAAGGAACACTCTTCATTTGATCCTATAGCTATCTGGTGAACACTTCTCTCATATGAACACCTTTGTATCTCTAGTAAATACTCCTCATATGGACACCTATCTCTCTCTTGTAAGTACCTCTTATGAACACCTCTCTGTCTACAGTGAACACCTTCCATATGGACACTATTGTAAGTGCCTCATATGAACACCTTTCTATCTCTTAGTTTAGGTTTGTTTTCCTTATGACTGGTGTACTCTCTGCTACCATATATATCTTCTGCAGTCACTGGTGGATCCAGAAGTTAAGGGGGGCCAAATTTTGAGTCAGCCAAAACATTTAAGCTTAAACAAAGGGGGGGAGCATGGGCCCCATCCTGGATCTGCCAGTGCGCAGTGGTGCACAGGTATTTAAGGAAATACCATTTTGACTTGAAACTCTTCATGTTGAAATTCAATGGACTGAACTTTTGTCTAAACTAGAAATTGAAACATGCTCTTGATACTTATTGAGTTATTTACCAATGCTGGCGGATATTTCAATTGTGGTGAACACCTCAATCAACAAATATTTTCCGACATTGAATCCTATATTATCTAATAACTTCTTTCTGATGAATGACATATATTCAGGTTATATGGAAACAGGTGTATTCGTCTTCATAATGCCTTACTATAGTGTATCTTGCATACATGCAGGTCAAGTCATTTACTGAAAGTTGAAATAGTAAGCATTTATACCTTAAATCAATTATAAGTTGTCTAGATTGCTAAAGGTATAACAAAATCATCAAATGACCCAAATTACAGGTCAAAATAAGAGAAAAATAGATAAAATTCTCTGAAGGGCAGAATGAGACTTGCAATCAGGGAGTTTCTGGTTGACTGGAAGGTAATGTTAAACATATATTTAATCTAGGCCAGGATATCCTTTTGAAGTTTATGGTACATTGAATCGTTGGAAAGCTTATGATGGATAATCATGCTATTAGTTTGATTTAAGTCTAGAGCAATTAATTATGGCATATATTGGCATAGGCCATTACGGGTATAGGCTGGGTCATACTACCCTGACCAAAACTCCATGCTTGGCATAGCCAAGGTGAGGGGGGGGGGTTTGTGAGTTCCTCACCTTCAAAATCTCAGCCAGGAAAATGCTTTAACTTTATAAGAAAAATCGCCATGTTTTTTTATTCAAAAAGGTTGAATAAAAATGAATCATCATATATGTATACAGTTTCTATTCTTTGTACTAGTTTATTTAAGTTTGTAGAAACAATGCCTCCTTGCTAAGCAATCAGTGTAGATTAGATGTATACATTATTGATATAATTGTTTTTTCCATCTGAAAAGCGAAGCAGTCTGTCCTTTATGATTACATTAAAAATTACTGCTGTAAAAATAGGATATACAGTGAAACCTGTAATATGGAACACCTCTTGAAGTAGAAGACCTCTGTTAGTAGAACACTTTTCAGAATCCAAAGACCAACTGACTGAATGTCTAATAAACCTCTATAAGTAGAACACTTCCCAAATAGAACACTTTTTAGAGGTACTAAATATTTTCCACTTAAACAGGTTATACTTTATATCCAAAAAGCATTGCCTCTCAGGAATGATCACAAATTAAAGCACATTTGGTTCCAATTCCCATTTCTTATGAATATTGATATTTATAATTCCAAATAGAATTCTATAAATTCAAATATAATTGTCATCACATAAATGTTTGTTTGTTTATGTAATTTACACCATAAAAACATAAATTCAGTAAACTATAGTAGATTCTAAGTAGACTCCTCAAAGGGACATGCTCTGAATTTATTTACTTTTTGATACCAAGTTATTAATTTATTTACTTTTTAATACCAAGTTTTTTTGATTTAGATGTGATTTAGATATTAAAAATATATTGTTCTATAAATTATAATTGTCTGTATTCTACAAATTTAATGGGGAATTAGACCTTCTCTACCTCAATACTAATTGGACATCTACCCCTAACTCCACTCCATCTTTATAGTCTTTATTAATTCTGCAAAGATTCATCACTCCAAATGCTTCCTTCTATGACGACTCTTGTATTTATGAGGAAATTGGAAATGACTCTGCCCAGGCAGTAATTAATAAAGGAAGGAAGGATTAAAGGAAATGCCGGAGAACTCAAGAGGGATATACATTATTATCAATCCCTCAGAGTCGGCTCTTCTGGAAAGGTCTATCCTATCATCCATATTAATATGTACCTTCGTTAAATAT